ATATATTATATATATATATAATTTTATATATATATTTTATATATATATTATATATATATATTTATTATAAAAAAACAAAGGACTGAATACTTGCTGGTGATATGCTGGCATACATTTCGACCATATACCATCTTCCTCTTATAAAAAGTATTTATGTGGCTAATTTCTCCTATAACAACCTGGGTGAAACATACATACGTGACTATCCCACATAAGAACATAAGAATCAAGGAACACTGCAGAAGATCTACTCATATATTTATCCAATCTCTTTTAAAAGCTACCCAAGTTTTTAGACTTGTTCACTCTACTCCAAAGATTGTCACATGCAGCTTTCTCCATCTGACCCAGCATTCCTATCCTATTTATAGTCATGTATGTTTCATCCAGGTAGATCTGTTTGTGACTTGATAAAGCCCAGTGTGGGCGAAACATTGTCAATAAAGGATCATATTATACTGCTTAAGTGTTTATAATTCCAAAAATAATCTGTACAAGAAATATTTAAAAATTTTTACCTGGGTTTGAATACCTTGCCTGTGTGTTTAAAAATTTTGCCTGGGTTTGAGTACCTTGTTTGTATGTTAAGAAATAAGTGGTAGAAGTCAGCCAAGTAGATAAACACTAGCCCCACAAAGCAAACACTACCTTGATGCTTGTGAGGAGCTCTTGATCCAAGGAATTAGACCTATCCTCACTGTCCTTGGATCGAATCTGATTACCTCCCATTTCCTAAGAGCTGTTTGATTCAACAAGTTTAGCACATCTTGCCTAGGTATAGGAAATATAAAATTGGCAGATCAGTTTGAATGATGCTAGTGTGTGACTTGGTCACACACTAGTATCTGTATCTCCCCAGATACTGATACTAGAGCAGTGGTTCTTAACCTATTTTCGGCTGTGCCCCCTAACAAATGCCTCCTTGTTCTTTTATGTAAAATTCTAATTGCAAAATTTAAAAACATCCTCCTTAACCCTTTGACTGTTTTGGTCATATATGTACATATGTCTTACGAGCCAGTGTTTCGGACGTATTAATACGCATAAATTCTAGCGGCTTCAAATCAAGCAGGAGAAAGCTGGTAGGCCCACATGTGAGAGAATGGGTCTGTGTGGTCAGTGTGCACCACAAAAAAAATCCTGCAGCACACAGTGCATAATGAGAAAAAAAAAACCTGACTTATTTTTTTATTAAAACGCCGACTTTGAGGTGTATTTTTGTATAGTATTTATCGTTGTATTCTCGTTTTCATGGTCTCACGTGATAAAATGGGAAACATGTTACAGAAATAGAGATGATTTTTGACTAGTTTCACAATGAAAGCGACGTTGAAATTGAGCTCAAAGTAGCGGAAATGTTCAATTTTTACCAATGTTCAAAAGTGAGCAAATCACACCACACTTCCAATACACATCAACTGGGGAGTCTAATATTCTTTCACTAGTGCACTGATATTATTTATACAATTTTTACAATAATGCAGTAGTCTGCATAACAGTAAATTTTGTATTTTTTGTATGAATAAAAAATCAAAATAGAAAGCAATAGTAATACAAGAGGGGCCTAGAGACGTGACTAATGAACAGAGGATATGTTATTTTAGTGCCAAGAATGTCTACAATGTTTATTCTGGACCCTATTTTGAAATTGGCATCTTTTTTAATTTGCGTGAAATTGGCCAAATTGCCAATTTCTGACCACTTTATTGGGTAGTTCAAATTGGTAAATGGGTAGTTTCTTGTACTCAACTGATAGAAAAAAATGGAGTTCTAAAGAAATAGCTATGAGTTTGGTCAACTTGAACAACGGAATTGGTCAAAAACATGGCTCAAAATCGGCGAAATCGCCAATGCGTATATGTTGCCGAGACCGCTAACTTCGCGGGAGCATAATTCTGTGAGTTTTCAACCAAATTTCGTACTTTTGGTGTCATTACCATCAGGAAAATATTCTTTATCATTTCATAAGAAATTTTTTTTTTTTTCCAAAAAATTTTGCGATATAGAATGACAGTTTCAGAAAGGGGCTTGCGACAGTCAAAGAGTTAATTAAATAGGAAAATTGAAAAACTAGTTTTCATTCTAGACTACTATTTTTTAACTCTTCAAGACTTTAAAGGTGCAAATTGCTCAGGGTTCATGCCTCCTCTGGAAATCATTCATACCCCTCCCCATGACGTTAAAAACCACTACACTGATTATATTTTAGAATGTGTTGATGTGTCAAGTCTAGTGTTACACAGAAATTTCTCCTCTCTTTTCTCTCAGTCAGTGAAGTGTCTCAGATAATGTAGTTCCCTGAAGACCCTACAGATATTGTTTTCTTTCCTGTGAAATGTAGAGGAAGAAGAGAACCTACAGACTGAAAAAAAAAAAAAAAAAAGGTTGATAAGCCTGTGTTTTGCTCTACTGTTGATAGTGTGAGAAGACACACACACACTGCTGCACACTAACAGCTCCTTTCAATGAAGGCAAAATTGCAGACCTGGAGAATAAACAGAAAACTTTTGCTCCACATATGAGTACAATAAAACACCTAAATTACTAAATTACTGAGAACGGTTGAAGTCCTTTGATCTGTACTCCTTGGAATGCAGGTGAGATAGATGCATCAAATCCAAGAGGGACTAGTCCCATATCTGCACACAAAAATCACTCCCTAAGAAAGAAAAAAAAAAACTCGGCAGGCAGTGCAACATCCCCTAATGAAAAGCACGGGTGTCACGAGTACACTACATGACAACACAATAAGTGTCAGGGGTCCAAGACTGTTCAACTGCCTCCCAGCATACACAAGGGGGAATTACCAAGAGACTGCCAGATGTCCTCAAGAGGGAGCTTGAAGGGCACCTAAAGTCAGTGTCTGAGTAGCCAGGCTGTGGTTCATATGATGGTTTGCATGCGGCCGGCATTAACAGCTTGGTTAATCAGGCCCTGATCCACCGCGAGGTCTGGTCATGGACTGGGCTGTGGGGGCATTGACCCCCAGAACACCCTTCAGGTATACTCCAGTACGTTGTTAATAATACCAGGCTGTCCTGCTTCTTGCCACTGGGCTGGTATTACAAAAATGTTGCACTTGCCTAAAAAGTCTAATTCTCTTTTTAACATTGGCCAATGCTATCAAATTTTGGAGAAACCCCATTTAATTCTCCTTTGCAGGATCCACATATAAATAATTCTACAGCACAGAAGTATCTTCACAATTGAGTGCAATCATGGCCAATGTGTACATGGAGCACCTAAGAAGAAGAGTGGCTAAAATTCCATATCCCTAGAAAGGTAGTTTTGTTGAGATATGTTAATAACATTTTGGTCATCATGCTTGGATGCCTGGACAACACTTACTTACTCAGTAACATCAACTCTATAAAACAGGAAGCAAACAATATACAGAATCCTCTTCTGAACTTAATGATCTATAGAAATGATAAGCTTGATTTTAGGGCTTACTGAAAACTAACAAAAATGATCTACACCTCCTGTCACATCACAAGAACAAATCTGAAGGCAATCAAAGGGGTTTTCTTAATGAGCCTATAGGATCTCCCTTCTTCCTCCACTTCCCTCAAGGAAGAAAATGACCATGATATGTCTACATCATCTTCATAAAACTACACTACCCATCACACTTCATCACCAACTGAGAAAATAAAGAGGGGAAAAATTCTACATAGCAGCAGACATAATACATTAAAGAGGTCCATACAAAGTATTATCAGTAAGCAAATCCAGCAAAAAAATAGCCAAAACCAAGATGAAAGGCAGAAGCATAGCATCCAGTACCATTAGACCTATAGTCAAATTTATAGACGCCACAGCAAACTTACACATTATACGTACTTTGTGGCAGCTGTCAGAAGTCCTACATGGAGACTTCCAGGGACTTAAACATTAGAATCATGGAATGCAAATATGCTTGCCAGAGACAGACCACACAAGCAGCTCATGCATAGTACATGGTAACATGTGTAACCACCTGATGAACTTCCTGAAGCACAGTTATGAATGAAGCAGACTAATGAAACAGACTTTGGTATGAATCAGCTTCGATCACCACTACAAACATTTCACAAAACTGTGGTTCATCTATCATACCCAGAGTTCTGGAAAAATTGACACTGCCCTCACTGGACACTTCATCCAACTCACCGAACCTAACTTGTCTACCTCTTAAGGGCCTCACCTCTAGTATTATATAATCTCATTATTTCATCTCTATGAAGTAATGAAGTCCCTTGTGGATGAAGTCTTCTTAACAAAATACCATAACTTATTTAGGTGTTCACCACACCTACATAAGTTTATTTAGGCACAGCTATACATAAGTACAATTATCACAGAATAACCTAAAAAAAAAAAAGTTAAAGTAACTTATTTCCATTGGGGTCTGAGGAAACATAGGTCTACTAACGTAACATTGACATTACCAAACACCTGTCTTGGACACAAAACAGCAGATATATCACGGTCAAACATGTGAATGTATCTACTTTAACGCTGTTTTATACTCTGCTACAACCAAACATGCACTCAAACACTGACATGTTCCTGCAGATAACTTAACACAACAACCTTCTTGTTTTTATTTCTAACAGGCAGTTTGTGGAGCACTTAAGAATAATTAGTTTTAAGTTGTATAGAGTAGTAGTGAGTGGAGTGGCAGCATCACCAGTCCCTCCCACTCACTCACACAAGATTGTAATAACACTTTGATGATGAATCACATTACCAGGCAAATACACTCTTACATTCTCCGGGTTTCTAGGCAAATTACTAGGTATTGCAGCGTCGCTGGTGGCCTGGAGGCTGGGCGCTAGCTCCTGGAGCAGGCTGGAGATTAGGAGAGTCTTCCTGACACCTGATACCCTCACACATCCACCTGCTTGACGCTACATCCACCTGACACTCTCCAAGCGATGCATCTCCACTCTAAACAAAATGGGATTTTCAAGATGTCCAGCTCATTATTTTCAAGGATATCCCGGTTCTAAGCTTACCTCATAATGCTAACGTGGCGTTTAAAATCATCTTTAGTAATCCAGTGTGGGTTGGGTGTGGGAGTGGAGGCTGGGAGAGGGCACTTAGCGGTGAATTTGGGTACAATTAGCGGAGGTGGAGCTCAGGTGGAGTGTAGGGCAGTAATGTCTGCCTGCGCCGTCCCGCTGCGCACACACACAACCACACTAACAACACTATGGAACAACAATTATATATATACTACTACCTTCCCTCCCTTGCTTCTCAACCAACCCCCTTCACATTAAGGTACATAACTATATGTGTCATTTGTACACTCTGTGTGCACAAATAAATCGTACAGTGTGATATGAGCGTAAATAAGGTAGTGTGTCCATATTACATCCTAGATGCCTAGGCTAACCTTGGATGCAACTCTGAAAAGTAGTGACAAGTCTTCTAATATTTACTACGAGGTTCCAAACACAATACAGACGTAAATATTGCTCTCAGCATCATCTCACTGCATCTCTACACATTCTAGCCTCAATACAAGTGATCAACGACATATACGAAGGTGTGGAACTAACTATATGTGTTCGCTACGCTGCCCACCACGTTGGAATATCGCTCTTATAGACTGTATTACTGTTTGTGTTGTGTTTCATGCAAGCTGTCATCTCTGAGTGATGCCTCACGCCATGAGATGCATAATCCTTCATGTTATGTGTGACTCATGTAGTAATGAGCCTCTCATCAGTGATTCATCCTGGCAATATAGAGGAGCTTTATGGGATATTACAGTTGTATGGTACTTCCTACTCGCCTATCTATGGTCACGGGGGTCGAATCTTAGCTCCTGGCCCCGCCACTTAACTACTCACGAGCGGTCACACTCGTGGCCTAGTCATACCTACTCTTAAAACTGTGTACGCCATCTGCTTGCACTATCTCATCCAGATCATTCCACTCTTTTAACCACCCACAGAGTAAAATGCTCTCTAACAGAGATATAGGTCCATACACTTGATAAAGCTCTATACTTTCATGACTGTGAAAAAACTACTATTGTTAACAGAAATCTGTAAATAGTCCATTACAAATGTAATTTGGAAATAAGTCAATTGTCTGTGGTTTTTAAGTTATCCTAGGTAGTTTACACATATGTCACTAGGTACAATAATTGCACTTAAGTGTACCTGTACCTAAATAAGCTTACTAGGTTTTAAGATGTTGAAATTTAATGTTTACTGTATGGCAGACAACCACAGGATATATGGGATATATGGTAAATGATCAGATCTTCAGAGCGAGATGTTACATTAAAAACTTGCTCTGTTTTTCGTCACCGGCACGCTGCTGAATTCCCTGCTTGTGTAACTGTTACTTACAGAGTCCTTTATGTGTCTTGTATGTCATAATCATATCTCCTCTGATTCTCCACTCAGTATGGGGTAGAAAATTTACGTACTTACCTATCCAGTTGCCAAAGCTATCATTGCTATAGCTGTTACAATATAATGAGTTTCATTCAATCGTAAACTTCCTTCAAACGGTTTGCCTTGATGTCAGTGAAGAGCTTTGGATCCAAGGAATTGCAGCTACCCTCCTCTTTGGCGCAATCATAATTATCTCATTCCCCAGGCACTGCATGTTCCCTACCGATTTAGTGTTCCCCATTATAAAAAAAAATAATATTAAACTTCAAAATCTGTGTTGCAGCTGTTGGAGGGAGAGTATACCTGGAGAGGGTTTCGGGGGTCAACGCCCCCGCGTCCTGGTCTGTGACTAGGCCTCATGGTGGATCAGGACCTGATCAACCAGGCTGTTACTGTTGGCCGCACACAACCCGACGTACGAACCACAGCCCGGCTGGTCAGGTACTGACTTCAGGTGCCTAATCCAGAGCCCTCTTGAAGACAGCCAGGGGTCTATTGGTAATTCCCCTTATGTATGCTGGGAGGCAACTGAACAGTCTTGGGCCCCTGACACTTATTGTGTTGTCTCGTATCGTGCTAGTGGCTCCCCTGCTTTTGATTGGGGGGATGTTGTATCATCTGCCGAGTCTTTCGCTTTCATAGAGAGTGATTTTCGTGTGCAAGTTTTGGAGCGGGGAGCCTTATTTCCCACCCAGATGCAAATATTTTTTTCAATTAATGGCTAATTTTTACTATTATATTGACTAGTGAACGAGAAAACACAACAGTTTATGAAATTTCATATACATATAGATTGCACATGCATATAGATTTTTAAAGACTTCTAGTTTGATAGCATCTTATATTTTTACGCCCCCTGGCTTAAACCTTTGTGACCCCCGAGACGGAAATCCTGGCTGCGCCACTACCCAGAATAATAGTAATAATAATATCTTTATTTACTACAAGTACATGTACATGGTATACAGGCCTAGTTGACATCAATGACATACTACTATATAGGAAGCCCCTTGTTATGCTCAGTATTTCGGGCAGTTTAGGTCAGTGTCCCAGGATGCGACCCACACCAGTCGACTAACACCCAGGTACCCATTTTACTGATGGGGAACATAGACAACAGGTGTAAAGAAACACGCCCAATGTTTCTACTCTGGCTGGGAATCGAACTCGACCCTTGCCGTGTGAAGCGAGAGCGTCAGCCACATTCAACTTCACTTGGCAGATACAAATAGTGGTATCAGCAGGCGACTCGGAATCGTTACAGCTTTATTTATTTTTTTATTTATTAACAATTTGAGCACACATACAGAGGTACAAAAAAATACAGATAAGAGCAGCATGCCAAAGCCACTTATACTATGCATAGCATTACGGCTTCTGAGAAGATATACATAGATAACTCCCATTACTGAACACCTTCTAAACTTCAAATCGCATTAAAAAACATAGGTAAGGCTACTTCACCTGGGAAAGACAGCATAACCTATAACATCCTTGGACTTCTCAATAAGTTGCCCAACAACCCTCTAAATGATTTGTGGAGGTTCAGATTACGGGGCAGTATCCTGCCTGACCACTGAACACAGCTTCTCATCGTGTCCATTCCAAAGCCTAACTCACCTATCTCGTTAACATTCTGCATGCGTGAAGTACATGAGAGAACTGTCTTGAACAGGCTCAGTGTCCGAATTCAACATCAATTCTCTGTCCCAGTCTCTATAGGCTCCTGCCTGGCAGAAGCACCCAAAGTTGCTTTGCTGATACTTCACCAGGCAGAGACCTGGCACAAAGACGGCCTTTATTGACTTCAGAGCGTTCTCTGACAGCCAACAGAGAACTCATCTAGGTACAGTTGGCCAGTATCGACGCCTTGTCAGCTAGCAACATTGAATGTGGTCTTGACATATTCACAGACAAGACCAAAATCTTGTCTCAATGTCTGCAATAACAGTCTATTGCCATTCCAAATCAATACACTGACTTTGATTTCTGTGAGCAATACGAATAACTGAGAGTTGATATCAACAGTAATATTGTAACTAACCTACACCTTAGATTTGAAGAGAAACCTAAACCCTTTAGAACACTAGTAGGAAAGAATATTGTCATCGACGTCAAATATGAAAGGTTGTTTATCAGATCCTTCACTGACTACTATGCCCTACACTTGACTATCTAAGGTCATGAAAGATCCGACGTTGCCAGCGTAGCTCACGAAAATGCTGTTTCATACCTGTATCACGCAAGTGTCACTGACATACCAGCTCATAGTCTCTACACCATCTGGCTGAAGGCAAATGTGAGTAATCTAGTCAAACTGAGCATTATTAAATGCAGTATACCCGTCCATGACTTTTCTCCCTACTCACTAATTGCAAGGATATCGTCACACACGCAGGTCACGAGAATCCATTCCTTCAGAAGGGCAAGAAACTTTTGTCCTTGCTGCCCAGTGATCACCATTCTGGAGAAATACCCTGACTTTGCTAGCTGTAAATAAAACATTACCACGTGTGCATGTGTGTGTGTGTGTGTGTGTGTGTGTGTGTGTGTGTGTGTGTGTGTGTGTGTGCGTGTGTGTGTGTCGTGTGTGTGTGTGTGTGTCGTGTGTGTGTGTGTGTGTGTGTGGTGTGTGTGTGTGTGTGTGTGTGGTGTGTGTGTGTTTGTGTTTGTGTGTGTGTGTGTGTTTGTGTGTGTGTGTGTGTGTGTGTGTTGTGTGTGTGTGTGTGTGTGTGTGTGTGTGTGTGTGTGTGTGTGTGTGTGTGTGTGTGTGTGTGTGTATGTGTGTGCATTCACCTAGTTGAGATTGCAGGGTCGAGTCCAAGCTCCTGTGTGTGTGTGTGTGTGTTTGTGTGTGCGTGTGTATGTGTATGAGTGTTGTGTGTGTGTGTGTGTGTGTATGAGTGGGTGTGTGTGTGTGTGTGTGTGGTGTGTGTGTGTGTGTGTGTGTGTGTGTGTGTGTGTGTGTTGTGTATGAGTGTGTGTGTGTGTGTGTATGAGTTTGTGTATGTGTGTGTGTGTGTGTTTATTGTGTGTGTGTGTGTGTGTGTGTGTGTACTCACCTATTTGTACTCACCTATTTGTGGTTGCAGGGGTCGAGTCCTAGCTCCTGGCCCCGCCTCTTCACCGGTTGCTACTAGGCCCTCTCTCTCCCCTCTCCATGAGCTTTATCAAACCTCGTCTTAAAACTGTGTATGGTTCCTGCCTCACTACGTCATTTTCTAGGCTATTCCACTGCCTTTCAACTCTATGACTGAAGAAATACTTCCTATATCTTCTGATCATTTGTGTCTTCAACTTCCAATTGTGGCCTCTTGTTTCATTGTCCCTCCCTGGAACATCCTGTCTTTGTCCACTTGTCTATTCACGCAGTATTTTTAATGTCGTTATCATGTCTCCCCTGACCCTCTGTCCACCAGTGTCGTCAGGCGATTTCCCTTATCTTTTCCTTCATAGGACATTCCCCTTAGCTCTGGAACTACTTGTCGCAAACCTTTGTACTTTCTCTAGTTTCTTGAGTGCTTTATCAAGTGCGGGTTCCAAACAGGTGCTGCATACTCAGTATGGGCCTGACATACACGGTGTACCGTGTCTTGAATGATCCTTATAAGTTATCGGACTGGTTCTCGGTTTGCCAGGCGCCATATGCTGCAGCAATTATCTGATTGATGTGTGCATACGGAGACATTGCTCGGTGTTATACTCACCCAAGATCTTTCTCCTTGAGTGAGGTTGCAGTTTTGGCCACCTACCTATACTCTGTCTGTGGTCTTCTGTGCCC